TTCAAATGGTATTAAAACCTATATTTACACTTTCATAGTGTTTTGATCGTAGTTTGGGGTTAACTATTTGCCCATAACTGGAACCCCAACAGGTGCTACAACTCCCAGTCATGGTGGACCTGGGAACACCAGCAGTTAAGAGGCGGTTTCACGCTCCTCAAAACATCCTGATCAGAGGCCTTGCGGTTGGATGTAGTTTATCGTCTTAAGCAGGGCGCGGATGTAGTTTATAGTCTTACCCAGGACGCCTCATTTGAAGGATGTCTTCACCTTCTGCAGAGGTGCAGTCAGTGTAATCTTAAACCCCTGCCGACAAGGCCACTGGTTGCCACCTGGTTGTTATGATGGTAATAATTTGCCCAAGTGTTTCCTCATTCGATTCAGAGCTCAGTGAAAAGATTTAATTCCGTTTTGTTAGTGGACATGAAATAGTGTTTTCGTGTTTCTCGAGAAGGTAAGCGATTGCAGTTTTTTCGGCATTTTAACCACAATATTTACTAGCGACTAAAAATAAGCTATTATTTCTCTAATAAAGAAAGAAATGATTTTTAGCTTAGAAAAATTCGAGATCGTAAAATGAATGTAATATAAAACGAACTGTTTAGAATGTTAAGTTAGAAACAGAAATAAAAATATACCGACTGCAGAAACAGGTGTAAAGCTATCAAGCCACGGATCCAGTAACCCATTATAGTCATAAGTGGATCAAATATACTTCATCCATAGTATCTGTGGTGTGGGAACCTGGCAAAACCACCCCTTTTCAAGCGGGTTTTGAATTCGGAGTTGTCATTCTAGATTGATTGCAACATCAAAGAAAGTGTACGCCGTAAGAGATGCTATTTTCTACACAGCTGGGTATTTGTATGAACGTGAACGTAATAAACAGAGTTGGAACTCAACCTACACCTTTTTCATGCGCGATTTGTTAAACTTTACACTATCCACACCTATCGGGGATAAAAGGTATTTTGCTTAACAAAGGGTAATATATTTTCCACAAGGCGCGATAGACTTCATGTTACAAATGAGACACAACATGCAAATGAAGCTGAATTCATTCTCATACAGTGTATATTCACGACTTCTTTAGACTCTTTTCGCTTTTTTTATTATTCAGTGCTGTTGGCTTGATCATTTCAAAGATGAATTAAATATATGACATAGAGCGCGGTTGAAAATCGCAAAATATTTCGCACTGAACGTCATATTATTATTTTCGTGATAACAGCTATTTCCTGTAGCAGGAAACGGAAATAATGTGAAAGAACCCAGTTCATAATCTATATTAGTCACATCGGTATATTCGCTGAGTATATCAGAAGTTTAATAATATATATAATAAATTCAAAAATGTTGTGTCACATTCTGTCAATTAAAGGGACACAACTCTTTAACACTTAAATATCTCATCTATATCATAAATGCGGAAATGTGTGTATGTCACACTTTGTTAATTTTTAAATATCTCATCAATCTTCTATATTATAAATGCGAAAATGTTTGTGTCACATTTTTTTCAATTAAAGAGACACAACTCACTAACTCTTAAATATCTCATCTTCTTCAAATGAGACTTGTTCATCCAGGATTGGAACTGAATTGTCACAATGCAAATAATGAACTTGGCTCAAATATATCTCATCAATTTTGGTATGTTAAATCCAAACAGTGAAACTGAACAAATCTACAGAGAAAATTTAAGGAAAACAGGAAACACATGGAACAACTACGACAAGACCGACAGTAACAACAATGAGTGGGGGGGGGGTTCTTGAATGTAACTGAACGATTTAAACTAACCTTCTTTTACAGTATTTACATTAGTCGGACTATTATCCTCATCTTTGTCGCCATATTTGTCACAACGTTTCGGCCGTTGTACGCTCCGGCCTTCTTCAGGTGGTTGGAATTTCGAACTGAACCCTTTATTTCGATCGCTGGGGTAGACTGTTCTAATTCCACGTGCCATGTTTGATGGATGTCAGTTATCAGTTATCTCCTGCTAATTTTCCCTCTGAAAGTTCTCCACTGCCTTAACCAGGAATTGAACTCACCTTCTTTGGGTCTGTCACTGGATCTAACCAACGCCTTTATCCACTGTGACATGTGTCCTTGAGGACATATGACACAGTGGAATTAGAACAGTCTACCCCAGCGATCGAAATAAAGGGTTCAGTTCGAAATTCCAACCACCTGAAGAAGGCCGGAGCGTACAACGGCCGAAACGTTGTGACAAATATGGCGACAAAGATGAGGACAATAGTCCGACTAATGTAAATACTGTACATAATACCTCATCTCAGAAATATAGACTAACCTTCTTTTATCTGAGACTCCAAAGAAAAATAGTTCGACCAGTAGCATCGTCTGGGATTGCTGCTACACACTTGCTTGGGTGGTGTACAACAAAGAGCATCTTCAAAATTGAATTAGATTTGAACTACCACTATTTGGAACCTCAAAAGATGAACCCACTTGGCTAAGCTACTGGAAGATACAAAGTTCATTGTGTCAGATGAATATACCATGGCACAAAAGCGAGCATTTGAGGCCCTCACCAAAATAATCAAAGACATTAGACAGAATTCACAAATCATGGGAGGTATCACCGTGGTGATTTTAGATAAAAGTTATCAGGCATTGAAAGAGGAACTCCATCTGATGAAATCAATGCTTGTCTGAAAAACTTTGCGTCTGGAGCTGTTTTCAAAGCATCTACCTGGAAACAAGTATGAGGGTTAGAGTTACAGGTGGCCTTGAAGCAGGAAGATTTGCTGCTTTGCAGTTGCAGTTTAGCAATGGAACCATCAAAATTGAAATATTTCTCTCCCAAATGCTTGTGGCATTGCAGTCTCAAGTATCCAAGATTTGATTAACCATGTTTATCCAAAAATTAAACATCATTTCATGGATACAAATTGGCCTTGTGAAATCGCCATGTTAGCTTCCAAGAATCGAACTGTGAATAGCATCAACTGGAAAATTCTCCAAGAACTATCAAAAGAAATCATGAAGTAATTTTCCATTGACACCGCGGTTGAACAATAGATTTCCTGAACTCATTGAATCCTCATGGAATGGCATCACATAAGCTGGAACTAAAAGAAAATCTGCCAGTTACGCTATTGAGAAATCTGAATCTGCCAAAGCTTTGTAATGGAACAAAGTTAATTGTCAGAAAGAATCTTCCTTATCTCTTGGAAGCAGAGATCCTTACTTGTTAAGGAAAGTAGGAAAGGGTTTTAATTCAAAGAATCCCCTTAAGTGAAGAAGGGCGGGAAATAGAATTTAACTGTGAAGGATAAAAAATCAACCAGTCGAAAAACTAATACAGAAGTTATCCATTTCAATGTTTCAATCAGACGAAATGCACGAGGCAGGGGTCAGATGAGGGTGGAATGTATTTGTCTTAAAGGGGAGAAGTTTTATAAAATTAAACCCGAATATTAAACTTATCACATTAATTTGGGCTTATGTGAAGAATGAAATTTTAAAATTAAAAGAGGAATAGAAAGGGGTCTAAAAGTTAATTATATATATATATATATATATATATATATATATATATATATATAATACCAGCATGGCCCGTCGTTGCCCGGTCTTAATTCAAAAATACAGCAATCGCTATCACTTGACTTAAAATATTTTTGCTCTTCCTTGCCTTTAAAGGAGTGTCCTTTGCCGTGCTGATGTTGCTACATGCCTTACTTCTTGCCTATCTCACACTGTATCCTATAATATATGTGTGACGTCATTTGTTTAAATTTGCATACGCCATCAGCAGATATGAATGTACGTCAGCGAATCATGGAAGATTGTAGTTTAAAGACAGTAAAATCGACCTTGATAACCGAAAGCTACTCTGTGGCCGAATCGGTTAAAAGGCGCGCCAGTCTATATGACTGTTCCGTATAGGATACATGTTCGATTCCTGCCGGAGGACGAATATTTCCTATGAAAATTTCTCGGACATTCAGGCCCGTAAATGTTGTTTAATACTGTTAATTATAAACAGAGCATTTACTTAAATATTTGAATCTATAAAAAGAATGTATAAATATATATAAGCATCCTATTTATTTCGACCGTATTATTCTTCAATTCTTATTTCCTTATGCTCTTTATTATGTTATTTATATTTTCCTCCTATTTTATTAATATTTATCAAATCCAATTATTTCAAAGCTTACGAATGTGTTTTTGGCTAAAAAGATTTTCGTTTCTCTTCAATATGGCTATCAACTTACAAAGATTCTTAGTATCAAGATTACGAATTCTATACTTAAATATATAATATGGTTTTCAGTATAACTCTATACCACAGCAATTTAGCATTTCTCTGTTATACAAAATATGAAAAATGAAACTGAGAAACGATTTAGCTTTTATCAAATTAAATCTTCTTCGTTCTTGCTGTTTTACAAATTATATCATTATCGTCTTTCGTGTTTCATACTTTCCTTCAAACCAGCACTGCTACAAATTCTATAGTTTAGTCTGTTTGTCCTTTTAAAAAAGCCAACCTTTTAACGCTTCTTTAACTTCTGCTATACTCTCATTTATTCACGTATTCTTTTCTTTACGTATACTGATATATAATATTCTCTTCCTTTCTCTTTCTACTTTTCATTTTTAAATAAATTTTAGTTATTTCCCGTTCAAAAAATGTCACTATATCGAAACATTCGTTTTGGCTTTATTTTCGTTATTCCGTAACGTTTTCTTCATTCTGTTTAAGACTCCGTCACTTTCAATGCCATCTTCTTTCATTTTACATTCTTTATTTATTCATTTTTAAAAACGAGATGTAACTTGATGGCCGTTCTTTTCTTTCATATCCAACAATATAGGTCTTTTTTTTTCTGAATAGTTCATCTCCAGTACCGAATGTTTCTTTCTATTGATTTTTCTTTCCTATTTATTTATCATTGTTTCTTTGTTTTCGAATGTTGCCCAGTAACTAGCGATCAATTCAATTTCCTTTTCATATCTGAATGTTTTCCGTCTTTTCTGTCTTTCTTTTCTTTTCTTTCTTTCTTTCTTTCTTTCTCTTTCTTTCTTTCTTTCTTTCTTTCTTTCTTTCTTTCTTTGGTCCTTTTCAAATGCATAATCTAAATTCTGCCTTAAATTTTACCTTCCTTTTTTTTATATATCATACTTTTAGATTTTCTTCATTATGTGATTCTTTCTTTCTTTCTTTCTTTCTTAGTTTCTGGCTTTATTTCTTTTTTCGCCCTTCGTTCCTTTCTTTCTTTCTTTCTCTTCTTTCTAGTGTTACTTTCATCTTTTCTTTCAGATGTTCTTTCTCTTCAAAATACGAACTTTAGCAATCTCTTCAGTTTTCTTCTTTCTTTTTTTATATTTTCTTCTTTTTCTTTATTAATAATTTATTCTTTTTCGTTTTTCATATCCCATTTCTCTTCTTTCTTTCTTCCTTCCTTTACTTTTTCTTTCGTTTTTCTTTTTCATTGTTTTTGTTTCTTTATTGTTTTTTCCATAACCGTTCTTTCTTTTATACGTTTTATTTTTCTTTCTTTTTTTGTTTTATTCTTTCTTCCGTTTTTCTTTCCTTCATTTTTTTCCTCTCTTCTTTTTTCTTTCTTCTTTTCTTTATTCTTCCATTATTTTTCCGATTCCTATCTTTTCGAGCTCTTTTTTTCCATTTTCTTTTTTCTTTTTCTTTTTCTTTTTCTTTCTTTCTTTTTCTTGTCTATCTTTCTTCCTTTTTCATTCCTTTTACCTTCTTTATTTCTCCCTTTTTCTTGCTTTCTTCTTTATTTCTCTTTCTTTTCTTTTTCCCTCATTTTTCTTTCTCTTTTCCTTTTTCCTTCTTTCTTTTTCTTTCTTTCTTTTTTGTTCTTTTTCTTTCTTTTCTTTCTTACTCGCAACTCCCCTTTCCTTTATTTTACCATTTTCTTCGATATACTTTCTATATTTTAAATCCTCTTATTCGATCTTCCTGTATCTCTTTAGTTTTTTTCTATATTTAATCCCATCATTTCTTCGTTATGTGCAAATATATTCGCTTCTTGCTTCTTTTTTCTCTTTCTTTTCATAACGTCGTCACATTTTCATGTATTTATCCGTCCTCTTTTTTGTCGATAAATATTTTCCCGCTCGGATCTACCCACACAACGCTAACAATAATAGTATACTGTATAAAACCCAAACTGTTTCTTATTTTCTTCAATACAACGCAATAAAAATAACAATATCTACAAGAGACATGATAAAAGATCTTTTCACGTACATAAATAAAATTCTCTCCAAAGAAACAAAAAATAAATAAAGAAAGAAAGAACTACGTCTTTTCTGTTTTTCTTTGTAAAGCATTTGCAATTTACTATTGGTCTTTTATAACGTTTTATCTTCAGACATAGAGAAATAAAAGTTTTCACGAAGACTTGTTTCTTATTTACGCTATCTCAGTGTTTTTGATTTTTGTTCATTCACTTTCTATTGTTTATTTGTGAATTTGTGTGTATACAAATTCTTTTACGGATTTTTTTTCTCTGGTTATTATTGTTGCTGTCCTTGCTGCTGTTGTTGTTTTTGTTGTTAATGTTGTTCTTTGTTCTATCTTCCTACCGAATTTCTCTTCACGTCATAACAAGGTTTTCAATTACTTTGTTTTCAATCATTCAAAAATCTGTTTTTACGCCTACTACACCCGAGAAAGAATCTTCTGTATATTAATAAAAGAAATAGTCGATCAGAGACCAACTTCGCTAACACGACATAGCATTTGAGCGGAGGTAATCGATTTTGAGCATTTCAGGCACGGGAGATAACTGAATGCTTACGAAGTGGCATTTTACTCTTAAGAGAGGATAAAAGAAATGGCTAAAATTAAAGACTGCTTGCTTACCAATAAATATTTGAACAAAAGTAGTTTTATTATTTGGAAGATTGTTTTTTTTTTAAGTTAGGAATCAGTTTTCTAATATTCTGGAGTTTTATCGCTATTATTTTCCTTACACTTTTCCCCCAAATTTTTTAGTGGCTTTTCTTTTGTGCATGCTACAAAATAAAACGTTTGGCTTGATCCACGACTATATGATTCGATTATTTTCGTTATCATTGTGGTAGAAACACATCTAATCTCTTCTCTCGTATGTAACTCTCTACTATAATGAACTAAACGCTTTCAGTGCTAACGCTGAATTAGTCAAATAAATCTTCATAACCTTCTATTTAGTGTTGTTACTATATTACAATATATTCTTCACTGATATCTTCGTCTCTGATATCTTCGTATCTAGAGTTATAGGAATGATTTATTTTCACCTACAAGATGTACATTCCAGCGAAGCAATATTATTTACGAATTTACATGTCCATTAAAGAGGTGTGTTCCTGAACAATCCAAATTTGTAAATAAATATATTGGATATATTACAGGCTCAAGTTATATATCTATGATCATAGCTCGATTATGTCTCCTTTAAATACACACGGTGACCAATCAAACCATATCCGTAACATAATCGTTGATAATACAAACAGAATAGTATCATGTACATGCAAAAAAGCTGAAAATAATGGAGGCATTATTAATAAAAGAAAGGAAAAAAGAAACAAGGCTCAATAACATCAACTATGAACACGGTCACAATGTACTGACCTTGTTTGGAAAATAAAACATTCCTTTAACTCTAGATAAATACATAAAACAATGCATATATTCAGCTAAAAGTAAAACAAAATTCTTGGTAAATGCTAAAAGTATAGCTTGGAAAACATTTGGAGAATTTCTATATAATTTCTCTTCTGAAAAGCCAAAAATTATAGCAAATCTTATAATTCTAAAAAAATATAAATTTTATAGAAACTCAACTATATTTCCACGAAATATATATATATATATATATATATATATATATATATATATATATATATATATATATGCAAATTACGTGGAAAACGAGTGACAAGCTGTCGTGTTGAGTTTATATATATATATATATATATATATAAAGTTTTAGTATTCAATATGGACAAGTTCTGACTATCAAACATATTAAATCTTTCAAATTTACGAATAAGTTGTTTTGTATTATCGCTAAATTTGCCAAAAATCATATACATTTTTGTTTCCTTATGCAGATGTTTTTTACTAGCAATCAGTTCTTGATTATTCTAATGTCTTTCCTAAATATGTCAACGTTTCTTAGCACTTACGACTGTTCTATGCGACGTGGCTTATGAAATTCCTTTGCGTAAATCAGTGGCATACGTCATTCTGCATTGGTCTTTCTGTTAACATTCTGTGCATAAATATTGCGTTCTTTGTTCCAGTGTCTTTGATGAACCTCTCTGTTTCTCTTCTACATGTCAACATTAGAAAAGCGGTTTTGAAATAAGATAGTCATTGGTGATAAATATAAAAGATGATGTTTTTTGATATTCCGTGGATCGATAAAATATATAAATAAATAAACTTTCAGACCTCAGCCGAAACAGTATCTATTGATTAGAAGATGGAAGTCTCAAAATAATGGAAGCATTTATAACAAAAAAGAAAAAAGCCAACACTAATAATATCAACTATGAACTCTGTCGAAATGTGCTGACTGTTTTTGGAAAATCAAAAATACATAAAAAATATATATATAAAAACCTACATATTCAATTAGAAATCGAAATAATCCTTGGTAATAGCAAATAGAGCAGCCGAAAATACATGGATAAGTATTTGGAGCGTTTTTACACACTTTATGTCCAGGAAAAAGATCGTTAGTATGAATGTACAGAAATGAATAAAAAAGCTTAATAGCAGTACTTTTGCAACCATCTTTACTAAAACATGACTCTACCACATAGCAGTAAGAAAAACGGTCTTTAATTCTACTGCAGGGTAACGCCCCCATTTTTCTTACAATAATCCTAGCAAAAGGTCCTATCGTTTTTTTGTTAAGCTCTTCTATATGCATATAATATTTCCGATACATGAGCTTATATCATGTAGATTTTAGAAACATTTGATAAATTACGAAACAGAAATTACATGAAATATTAACAAAAAAACATAAAGTACATTCTAAAAATATTAGAACAATGAATAAACTCTCAGTTGTGTACAACCATTTTCTAATAAAGGGATAAATGATAAAGAAAACGAGAAGGAAGGAAAGACAGTATGATCATTGAAAGGAAATAAGTACGAAACAATGGCGAAAAGCGGAAGAAAGAGACAGAATAAACGGAAAAAGTGAAAGAAAAATACCGTTCAGAAATATCTACAGCTGTTACAAAGCAATCACAGAAAGAAAGGAGGTGAAGCTATTATCCATTACACCATGCGCACATTCAAGCTTACAGAATTATTCTCATGCGGTCCCTCATCTAGGTACTGGCCAGGCTTAACGTTGCTTAATTGCGGTGATTTTTCAGAAACCGGTAGTTAAATTACATAGGTAGGATAATCCGCATGAAGTTTAAAAACCTTCGAAGTCAGGTAAAAAATGATCCACACTTTCACTATAACCTATATTTAGGTTTGTCACACTGTATTCTGCACGGACGTGCTTATAGTTGCTACAATTGTGGTCACGTGAACAAAATTCTAGCTTACTAACACCATTTTGGTTGCTGGTGTTACAGTCTAAACATGGCCTCTCCGCTAGCAGGTGACTTTGAAGTAAAAGATTAATCTTCAGTAACTGCAGTGTATTTGCTTTTATTTTTCAGTCTTTCCTCAGATTCTTCTTACTACCAAAAGGTTCAAACTTGCATTCGTCTCTCCATAATACATTTTGCTAAACTATGATCATTTTATATGGAAAAAAATTATATTTTTATTGCGCAATTAGCCCATCAGTAGATATATTGAGATTCCCAAATATTCTGGATTTTTTAGTCAGGTCAATGGAATCATGACAAAAGAACAATATCATTTGATTTTGTAAAGACATGCTATACCGTCTGATTTACGCATAATGTAAAGAAAACTCGCCTTTCAAGAATACAATGTTCCAAAACAGTCTTCATGTGAAAATTACCTTGAGTCAAGAAGAACATTTTGGAATATATGACTTGGCCATTGGCATTCATATTGAATTAGTATAGGATAAATTGGATAGGAGCGTTCGAAGAGAATACCCTCAAACCAATGCTTTGGAATTTCCTTTTTCTCAGAATCTGTTGGAAAGAAAATCCAGAAATTTATAAAGTAGTAAGTAAGATAGGTTTTGACTTTATTTATGAAAATAAAATATTATGCTATTGTATAATAATGTTTATTGTTAATTGCTTAATTTATGTCAAAAGTAAATACACTGTAGTTAGTAGGTAGTTACCTTTTACTTTAAAAAAATATTATTTTAATGTGTTTTTTTTAAATGCAACATAATCCCAAATTTTTTGCCTGAAATGTACATTTACACGACTCCATGAAATGTTGATTTCTTGCGATTGTGTTATACACGGGGTGTAACAGCAAAATTGTCGAAATCGTGTAACGCGAGAATTGTCCAGTTGTTAGATTAAGATAGAAACCGTTGCATCTTAGAAATAAATAAATATATCTTACTGGAACTCTATGAGGGTTTTATAACAATACTGGACTGTATTTGAGCAGTAAGAAAATAGAAAACGGTGTCTATGCTTAATAGAAGTATAGTGATGAAATCGTTAATAAATGAAAATGACATGTTCATAATTAATTAATCATAGCTAAGGATTGGAAGCTCATGAAGCATTGAAATAAAGTTCACACACACACACACACACACACACACACACACATATATATATATATATATATATATATATATATATATATATTCAAGGTCATTTTCCAATTTATTTAGACGATATTCGCCCTCTGTAATCTTCTTTCTGTCTTGCAATAACAAGTTGCTCCGCAGGTTTCAGTTACAAATTCATTTTCAAGGATTTTGCAATGCTCTTTGGACTGTCATAGGTAACACCCCTCTTTCGCCTGTCAAACACCGTATGAATTGAGTTGGATTTTTTCTAATTGATCTCTTTAGCTCTCAGTTGAGATGATGATTCTTCTTGCTGTTGTGACCTCGTGATCCAATTTTCCTCTCTAAT